TAACAAAGGAGTATAATTTAACACAATAGCAAAGCCTTTACTATGTAGCTTTAAAGCAAGGCTTTTACTTTTTTGGTGTCTCTCTTATCTTCTCCTTGTGTGTTTGGCTTATATCATGACTAATTGCCCATAACAAAGATTATCTGTCCAGGATTGCCTAGCCTTATAATTACATGACACATCCATTCCCTGCTGAGGCCTGGAAATAGGCCCACATGCATCTTTTTTTCTTCTTTTCAACTTCTCAATCTGTAACAAGTCGTCTAGCTTCCAGGAAAAAAAAACATAAATGAAATAATAGGAAAACTGGGAATTTGGTGCAGATATGGTGGTCCAGAGTAAAGAGAAAGAGAATATAAAAATAAATACTCACACCCTTTAGCTTGGCCATGGGTCCTTCAAAAATATGCATATGAAAGAAAAACTATCAATATTTTATGGACTTTGCTTTTATCTGCCATTTTTAACTGCCATGTTTTTAAAGCATTGTAGAGTAATGCAGTAATGCTGTGTGATTTACCTCAATGTGCACTTTGGTAGGGTAAGACCCCAGCAGTGGTTTGTTACATGCCAGCCATTATTTTATGGCTTTATGGTATATCAAATATTGTAGTCAACTTGGCATCACCTCTAGGCCATATGCTCTTTAGGCTGAACATAAAGGGTGGATTTATTTCAAGTAGTCTGGGTATTTCATAGAGAAAGAAGGACTGTGTGTAAGAGGAAGGCAGCGATTTAGATTTGGTTCTCCCGCAGAATTTCAATCCTGTATCAGGTCAAAAATATAGACCAGATTGTGGTCTTTAAGAAATATTATACCAAAATACCAATGAATTTATTACTATGTTAAAGATCTGTTTTCACATATATTATAAATAATAACATAAGTCAAGTATCAAGTAACTAATAATATTGTTTTGGGTTGTATGTAACACAATATATTTATACATACCTGTACGGTACTGTGCAAAAGTCTTAGGCAGTCACAGAAAATGAAGTTCGAAAGATGTTGGTGTAAAACTATGATGTTATGTCTGTCAAAATGTGTCAGCTGAGCCATTCCAACACCTCTCCTAAAATTACCACAGTATTTGCAGCAACCGCCCACTACATCCATGTATTTTTTGACTCAAACACTACCCCACCTTGTTTGCCTAATCAATATTCTCATTCCCCACTACCTATTGATGTCCCCATTTTTGCACCTTATGTTAGTCTGTTAATTTACTTACTTGCAACTGCAATTTTGCACCTTATGTATATATTGAGAACCATTTATTGCTTATTTCTTTATTATTATTTTTATTATTACTTTTATTCTGATCCTTTATTTTTATTTTATTTGTTCTATTTCTTTAATGTCTGGTTCTGTGTCTGTGCAACACTGCTCTATCTGCCACAAATTGCCCCTAGGGGACAAATAAAGTTTTTTTTATTTGATTCGATACCCCTTTGAATTATTTAACAAATCGAATTAATTAATTAATAGAGCTGATGGAGAAATTTAATGAGTACATAGGATGACTAAGGTGCCCCTAAGGAAAGGTTTGGGAACCAAAGCACAGTTTATCTAGTCATTCAACAGGATATCAGTTACTTTTTGGGGAGCAGATGAAATTCTTGTATATTTTTGTCACTGTTAATTTGTACAGTAAGCCCTCGTGCATTCGCGCTTCGTGATTCGCGAATTCACAGATCCGTGAAAATTTCATTCGAACCGAACATATTTGCCTCCGCGATTTTTTCGCACATCTGCGTTCCTTTTTATGTACATAATATACTGTACCTTTACAATATGCGAATCCCATTCGCAAAGTTTATTCCCTTTGGAACTGTCATAACCTGCTCGTCCGATCCTCCCGTGTGCCACGCCCCCTCATCTACCTCATGTGGAATCCCCGTGTGATCAGCGCTGTTTCCAGTTGCTGTCATTAGTCCTGTGTATTTAAGTCTGCGTTTAAGTATGTTTCCCGAGGCCGGTCATTACCGTCTTTTTGGGTTTGCTGCCTGTTCTGTTGTCCTGCTTGTCTTTACCTTTTGATTAAACCCCGTGTTCCCCGATTCCTTGAGTCCTGTCCCTGCTTCCCCGGTCCGTGCCCCGGCAGTACGTGACAGGAACATAAATGGCTACATAAATATTAGAAAATAGTTAATTTACTATTTTATAATAGTGAGTATACGTTAATGTAAATTCATCGCACACAAATGATAAATTTCTTCAGGGACGTTCACAGGGCAGGGCTAAGGTTGCCCGCGCAACTGCCCGCTTGCTCTATTTGACTCAAGCTGCCCCTCCTAGAAAAAAAATATATATTTTGTCGCGAGCTTTCGCAGTGCGAAGAGCAAAAAAAATGCGCAAGTCATCTTCGTCAGGAAAATGCTTTTTAATTTGCCGCGCTGGGTGAAGCTCAGTCACATACTGTAGCAACTCAACAGCTTCATCGTAAACAGCTTACCGCTACTCCCTGAACGGCCCATTCCCCTGCATTGCGCACCTACTTAACGGTGGCAAACTGCGCGCATTTTTTAAAAACGCCACCATGTAAGGTAGAGAGAAATGCTTATGGCAGTAACATTAACGTTACATACTCATTCTGAGACTAGTTACTTCACCATCAAGCTATTCACTTACACTCGATAAACTTATAGGCAAAGTGAGTGGACGTAGCTTCTGAAAGCTCAGCCGGTCTGTTCCCCCTTTAGCTGCGTCGCACGCAACCGCGGCACTAGAGCCAGAGCCCATTACACACTGACGTTGTAGAAATGATTAACTACGAACTATCATCATTTTTTTTAAATGAAATGAATTTAAATCGTAAAAAGTCCGGCCTCAGTTTCCCACGTAATGAACCAGGTAGTTACCAGATAGCATGAAAGGTTATCACATGCTAAATGTTTTGGTAGGAAAAGTGTACGTCTGCTGATGGTTATTCTCGAACATTTGTTTTAACAAGAAGCATAAATGATGGAAGTAATCATTCTTGTTGTAATATGCATTACATTAATTGTATTATTCAAAATGGTAAAATGCCTGGGTGTTTGCATGCTACACTAAGCTAAGAATGCCTTCCGAATAGAGGATTTTGGAGAGAGAGAGGCAGCAAGAGCTTGCTTGCATGCTTGCAGAGTTGGTTGCAAGCAAGCAAACCATCCGGTGAGACAGAGACATTGTGATAGAAATGGCAATCCCTACATTATTTGGTGTGAAATGGGGAAATAGGCCCATATTTTCAGACTAACCGTTATTAGTAATTTTGCACTTTCTTCGAACTATCAAAGATCTTGACTGTGCAGAACAACAATGACAACAATATATTACTGCTTCTAGTGGGCCTATTATTATTATTATTATTATTATTATTGTTGTTGTTGTTTTTAACATTGGACAGATGATGAGCCAAGTACAACAGACAAAGAGCCAGGACCCGAACAGTACAGATTTGGAAAATAGGGAAAGGAGAGACAACACAGAAAGTCAGGACAGGATGCCAAAATGGGAGGATGCTGAGATGAAGAGTGAGGCAGAATCCATGAATACAGAATTTGATTTTTTGCTGAGATTGAGTTATCCAACTGATCCAGCCCATGTACAGAGCAATAATCTTAAATACAATCATTTATCAAATTTTCACATTCAGTTGGGCCTTGCCGTCCTTTTTTTTTTTTTTCGGGGGGTGGGGGTGCCATTTTTTCTGGTCAGAGCAATGGCCCCTTAAAATTCCTGTGCACGTCCCTGAATTTCTTGAAAGGTGCTAATGTTTACGTACATAGCAAATGCGTCCCGGGTTTCCATCTTGAGACGCATTTGCTATGAATACTGAAAGGGTTGGTTTTTAAAGGTAATGTATTAAGCTATCTTTTAAATTTAATTAAATTGTTTTGGGAGCATATGAGCATATTTAGGGTTTAAACTATAGAAATAAGCACATATTACCATTTTTAGTGACTCTACCAAACATCCACAAATCCTCCTCATTCGCAATGGGTTCTGGAACGTAAAATCGTGAATGTCCGAGGTCTTACTGTATATGTTGTAATGTTAAAATGTGTGTGAGTTTGTGTGTTTTCTGGGGAAATGTACAATTACTACCAAGGTGAATAGCTTTAAACATTTTCTTTGACTGTCTAAGATTTTGCACAGTACTGTGTGTGTGGATTTGGTTTATATTGCATTGTGGGACCAAATTTCCTCAACAATGTGATAAAGACCTGTCATTCTGATGTTGTGGGGACCATTTTTCAGGTTCCCACAAAGATCTGTGAATAAAATCAAAAAACTAAAAATGGCAAAAGTTTGGTCACTTATGAGTAAGGTTAGGGCTGGGTAGGGGTTAAGGTCATCATGTTAGGATTAGAGGTCTCCACATAAAAATGAATGGAGAGTCCCCACAAAGATATAAATATAAACCTGTGTATGTGTGTATATGATATGGTAAAATGGTCAAAAAAAAGTTTTAACTGTTATGTCAATGATTGAGCTACGTATTTCATAACTCTCATTTTCCTATTTTGTCCTGTCTTGTCTCTGTCTATCTGTCTGTCTGTCTGTCTTTGTCTGTCCCTTGCAATATAATTTTATTACTTTGTTTTGTTATTTTGCTTTTGTAATTATGCTGAAAAATATTACATTTATCTCATTATGTAATTGTTAAACTGCTTTCTAATTGTTATTATTCATAAACTTACACACTATATGGTCACTGCTTTTGTAAACTAAAATACAAATTATATCTAACAACATCAAATGGATTGTTTTTCACATAAATTATCTGCTTCCATCTACAATTAACATATAATTAAAAAAAATATCTATTCATTTTGACAACTAACCTGGCAAATGCATTAATGAAATCAACCACTGGGTTGCATTTCTGACCCATGAAAATCAATTCTCATTGGCCAATCGGTCCGACTGATTCCCATTGGCTAATTGGCCCGGCTCATTTCATTGGCTAACTGGTCCGGCTCATTCCCCACCTCCATAAACAATCTCTCAATAGCTCCTGGCTATGAGAAATCCCACAGTATGAGCAACATCTCAGGAATGACTGGGTCCTCCATTCGCCTCAACCCAATCGCACCGACCACCAGTCCCCAATACGAGGCCCCGGGGCCCCTACGCCGGTGCTGCTCTCCCATTCCGTCCATCAGGTAGTTGGAAGAGGAGAGGGAGCTCCTGATGATCAGCCAAAAGCAATACAGACTGACACTCAAGCAAGAGAACTAAGCATGATGCAAATGTAATGATGATACTGATAATAGTAATTGATATAGAAATCATAGGTAATCACTTGTATTCACAGTGTTTAAGTTAGGGGATGGAAAAGAACAAGGATGTGCAAAGCACCTGCAATAGAAAATGCTTCAGTAGAGTGCTTCAATTCACAATACTGATGATTATCGTAATGCAGTTGTTACCAGTATAATACATATAAATGCAAGCTCACAGTATATGCAGTGTACAATATTTACATTTTGGACAATGCTACTGATCTAAACCATGTGTACACTTTGTAATATCAACGCCCTACATATGAAGACACCATAGAATAACAGAATTACACCTTTTTTTATAGCGCATTTTTAAAAGTGACATCAGAAATCATTTGACAGTCAACACTATACCCAGTTAAAAGCAATAAAAAATATCATGTACACTTAAGAGTAAGGCCATATTATACAATGGAGCTTGGGCAACCAGGTTTCAAAGTTTAGCATATTACCACTGTTATTGTGAACTGCTGTGTTCAGGAGCTACAGGATTTCACTGCAGTTTTCCTAGATCTGATTACCTTAAATTATATCATATAGGTAGCCCACTTTAAGAAAATACCTTTTTGAAAGTCAAGAATAATGGAGAGGCTGTAAAGACTAGTGTCAAAAGGAAAAGAATGTGAATGCACTTATGTGAGGATTTTTGAAGACCAAAGGGTCCTTACCCACACCAAATCTGCCCCCACTGCCAAAGACCACTCCTTGTGCTTTCGTTGTCGCTTCACACGTAGTGGACTCAGTGAATTCTTAATCTGAAGGTTTCAATGTTTCTTTGATTATGATTGCTGTTTAAAATGAAAATGATTGATTCCAGTCATTTCCTGCCAGTTTCTTAGGAATTCCAAAAAGCAGCTGTTTTTCTCATGCAGCATGTGGTGAACTTTAAACTTGGGGTAGTGGAAATCCCATTTCCAAATCATTTCATCAATCAATGGTTAAGTGCTAAAAACTAAACGAAGACCCATAGACACTGTGGTCCTCTAGATATACTGGAGGTTCCTCTGCTTTTGACTAATAGTTGCTATCAATTGTAGGTCTACTTTTTGCCTTTTATCGCTTATTTCACTCCAACTTTCCATATCCTAAAGATGTAAATGTAAAGCTTCTGAATTGACTAAATGAAACCAATTAGTACAACAAAAAGAAGAATTTGCTATTTAATATTTACAGATATGCAATATATATAGTATATATAATATACACCTAAATATAATTTGTAGCATTGTGCAAAATCAATGAAAGTATAGGTTTTTCATCCATTAGGTAATTGATAATAACAGTACTAATCATAATAAGGCATTCTATTATAAGTAGTGTAAACTTTATTTTATCATATTTATATTCATAGAAATATATAACCACGTAGCATTCTAAATACAAGTATGCAAATATTTGGAAAGTGTGTTTATTTTTTAAATGTTTTCCTGCATAGGTTTCTGTTTGAATTTATTCCTCTGTCAAATTCAGGAAAAAATGAACTGAGCAAAGTTGCACTTTGATACCCTTTAGGAAGTCATTAAAAAGGTAATGAATTGTGTTAGATTATCTTGTTTTTAACTCCTGGAACACATTGAGGATGCGGGTAACAGGACTGCAGAGAAAGCTGTGCATCGGAGAAGCTGTGGTGTCCTTTCTCACCTCCAGCTGCTGCTTTAAACTGGACAACATGATTAATGGCCTCCTGTAAAATCAGTATCATACCCTCAAGACAGGGAATTAACATCAATCAAGTTTCATCATCAGAGGACCTATAGGCTTGGGCTAGAAGGAGAGAATTGGCAGGCTGCTGAGATTCACTGGCAGATGTGTCCAGAGGTAAATTAAGTAATGTTTAGTTACTATACATGTCTGGTAATTGTTTGGTTGTTTTGTACTGTTACATATTTATAATATCAATATGACAATGTTTAATTATTGCTTTCATAATCAGTTTCAAGTTTTTGTAATGATTGGTTCTGTTTAAATTCTTGTAAAACAAAATATATTACATGAACATTTTAAATGTTAAACTTTGTGATTTTCATGTAGGATGACGTGTCATTGGGGTACACACTGGCAGCATTGCTCAATTGTATTTTCAGAGAGAAAAAAAGCTCAGGACACTTTTGAAATACTGTAATCAAAATAAACATATCATGTACTGTATCAAAGTAGAGCCCTTTACAAGACGTCAAATGTCTGGGCAATTGGTTAGTAGAACCATTTAGAGCAAGGGTCTCAAACTCCAGTCCTGGTGGGCCAGAGACCTCTGTAGCTTAGTTCTTTCCCTGATTCACCACAAACGATTCAGCCCAAGAGTTGTGTGGTAATTAGCACAAGTAGTTGAATCAGGTGTGTTAAATGAGGGTAAACTCAAAAATGTGCAGGGCACCGGCCCTCCAGGACTGGAGTTTCAGACCCCAGATTTAGAGTAACAAGAACTAACAAGCTATGTTTTCAAAGCAATATTTATTGCACTACACTTGCAGTATGAAATGTATGTATGTGTACCTATGTGTATGATTTTATCTAAAGATAATTTGAAGGTTATTAATGTACTTTTTGAGGAATTAAGGATGGAGGGAACTGGAATTGGCACAGGGTCTATTCACTGAACTTTGCTTGAATGATTTGCCCTAATACAGGACCTATTGACTAATCATTTAGGCCCAAAATCTCTGTGCCTCTTTCCTTCTAAAGAGTTATGTTTTAACTGACTGTTAAGATCAATATTTGGCATAAATATTATCTGAATATTTATCTGAAATTGTACCGATTTCTACGTGCATGGGGATCCAGTTCTAGCAATAACAAATTAATGTTCTATGTGTCATAGCTTGCGTGTATCTTTTTCCAATCATGCATATTCTAACAATGTGTGACAAATATATGCAAACAGAAGCAGTAACTGTGATCACTAACACGAAAACACCTTTCTTCTGTACCTAAACCACCCTTTCTTCCATTTCGGTCCTATTTTTTTTTTCTGTCCAGAGGATCATTTCCATAAGAGGAAGCTCTTAGACAGAACACCGTTGGCTTAGCTGTTGTGCAAAACACGCAATGGGTCTACAGCAGGGAGATACTGACACTAGACCTTGGCTATTTGCTGTTCCTTAATTGTTATCAGAATTGTTATATATATATATGAAAAATATACACACACACACACACACACACATATATAATACGAATATATATAAATGTGAAAATGGGTTACTCATTAAAATGTTGGAGCTATAGCTGAAAAGTCCATCATTACACTGTTAAACAAAGATGTTTTATGTGCCAGATAGTGGTGGAAACAGATCTACACTATAGCCTGTTTGTGCTTGCAAAATGCAGTGTTTATATAAAATATTATTCATATATTTCATAGATTAGAAAAGCAAGGATTTTTTGTCAAACGTCTACTGATCAGCTGTGGTAGGAAAATTATAAATCAACCTCTCTGATAACTCTAGTTGAGCAACTTACTGTAGAATAAAACTCTGGACCTCTCAGTTTGGTGAGTAAAGTACAGACGCTCCTCTACTTATGAATGAGATGCGTTCCGAATGGCCGTTCGTAACTTAAAATGTTCATAAGTCGTTATTCAACATCATTTTAAGAGTATACGCAAGTACAAAGAACTAGGATGCTGGGAGTGCGCACGCTATACTGCTGCGCGGCGGGATTAGTGGCCAGAAGTTGTTTGGTGCACAGAAAAAGAAATTGATGTTGTAGACAGGAAACGGGAGCCTAATCAACGCAATTTGGACTTGCAGTCCTCTTTGTTCGTATGTCTGAAAGCTTGTAAGTTGAAAGTTCGTAAGCAGAGCAGTGTCTGTAATCTCTTCTATTCGAGCAATCCAGCAAAGCGCTCCCGTCACAATCTGGCACTCGGTACCAAGTCACCCTGAGCACAAAGAGCAACCAGTTGATAAACCATAACTCCTAATTCCCTATAAGGACATCCAGGTCCTGATTGGTCACAAAACACCAACAAACCAAGCTTAAACCTATAACAAACATAATTCTCCTGCTCTATTGGTTCACCTTGGTAGCGAGGTAAAATCCACCCATCTTGCTCAATTCTGTCTCGACTAATAGACTCTACTTGAGATATGTATATAGATATTCATTATATGACATTGAATCACTGTTAATGTTTGGGTGTTCCATTGATTAATGATTAACACATTGATGTCATTGAATCACTGCAAATACATGGTAAATATATGATTAGTATGATTAATGTAACAATTACTTATACATTTGCACTACCGCGTAACATATTGTATATTGTCTACTGTGACTATTTTATAACTATAACTCTTTGTGCACCAGTTGGGGCAGCTTCGTATCTCTTCCTGCACGTGGTTTCTCCCCCCTCCTTGCTCTGCAGTCTGTCTCTCCAAGGTCTGATCTTTCTTCAGGGTCTGCAGAACTAACCGCAGGCAGCTATCACGAAGCAAGATCACACAGTATTCAAAACAATCTCTTCTTGTCTAAGGCCTAAGACATAACAGACCCAATATTTCCCCTCCCAGGCCTACCAATGTCCAATTTTCCTTCCACACAATAAATCAGTTTCAATTTGGGTAGAATTAATAACAATAAATATTAATATATATTTTTTACAAGTGTTTGAAGTTTGCTTAAAAAAATACACTTAATTTTAACCATGTCCCTATGAGTTAATTCTGAAACTAAAATATCTCTTAATTTGATTTTGATTCACTTTCATACTACAAAAGTATTAATTTTCTGTCTTTTCTGTTTAATTTCTTCAAAATTCAGGCATCCAGGAAGTGGTGGTAATATGTAAATAGAACTTCAATGATATTTATAGCTTATTTAGTTAACTGTCTAGCTGATGTCCTGTAAATGCTTAAATAACAACATTGCCAAGGTTCGGTTTTAGGAACGCAAAACTAATGAATACAATGTTTTCCCTCCCCAGATATAGGTTAGCTGAATTAACCTGCCACTGATTTGCCTTTAGTCCTGATAGTAAGCTAACACTGTAAAATTAGCCATCTTCAAGCATTAGAAAGATAATGAAAGAAAAAACAAACCATACAGACCTATGCAGTAGACAAAATGTTGTTGATTCATTTACCTGCATGAAATAACAGAACAAGCTCAAAGAATATTAGAAAAAAGTAATACTTCCGTAAAGATAAGTGATCCACAAATGTTTGTACTTCTATATTCATTTTTGTTATGGCTGAATGGAAACATCTTTTGTTTGGAGAGCGAAGAGTCATTTAACTACACTGCCTTGCTCTGCGCTTCCAAAACACCCAAGTTTGTAGTTCACAACTAAATCAGGAAAAAACATTATTATTATTATTTGTTAGAATTCTAACCCAGCTGACACAGGTTCTTGGCACTTTTCACTTTTGTTTCAAAAAAAGTTGACATTATTTAATGTGTTGATTGATTAGAAAGGTTAGGTATGTAAGGACAGATATGAACAGACAGGCATCTGAGAATGACAAAAATCAATATGAAAATCACTTCAGAAATGTAGAAAAGCATCTTAAGTTCAAACGTTTCACTCAACAGTTATTTTTTCTTTGTTGTTAGGAGAGTTTAAAACGTGACAAACTTCATCTGTTCATCAAGCCCTTAATTTACATCCATTCACCCAACAATTCATTTTCAGCTGAGGTGCTCGGCAGAGAATCTCAGGTAACATGGGACAGCATGAGTTAGGAATGGCAGTTAGAGTTATGATGTCATGGAGAGTTTCATCCACCCTACAAAAAGAAATCACCTTTTGGTCTGCGAGATTATCATATAATGATATTTAGAGTTCCACGAATCGACATCTATTTTGCAGTTTTAGACTTATGTGTTGTTAGATGTAGCCTCATGATTGCATTAATATGTACAAAACTACATCAGGGTTTCTTAACACTGGTCATGGGGATCGAGTAATTGGATTGTATTGACATGTTAAAAGCAGAGGCAGAAAAGTCATGTTTACTAAAGGTTAAAGTAAGTTTATTGCCCATGCTTGATTTGGCTAGTTTGTTTCCCTCAAATAAAAACATGCAAATAAGTTGTTGTTCATTCAAGCTATTTAATTGTTCAGGATCTTAAATATTATGCAATTTTTATAGATCTATTGACTGTTTAATGACTTGTTAAATTTTTTGAAGTAAAAAGTAGAAGAAAACCCTTTATTTTATTGTTTTTTTCCAGACACACCAAAAACAAAATCACACTCAGTTCATCTGATGTTACAAAGCTCTACATACCTAGAGCATTCCCAAAGACTGGCAAGAGAAGCTCTGAAAATCAAATTACCCCTTTAAATACCTGTGGCAATCAAAAGCAGAATGTCACTTTGGTGTTATTTTTGGAAAAAAAAAAAAACACAAAAACACAGCAGTCTCTCTATAAAACCACGGAATACCCATCTAAACATCGCACAGATCCTATTCCATAAGCATCTGTAAACACATGCACAATATGAGCACAGTGACTTATTTAGTCATCATTTGATATTTTTTTCCTTTATGTTCTTAAATTTACTTTGTCTACATTTTAGTATTAAGCCGTTTAATAATTACATTACCATATCGCTTCTCTATTGCTTAAACAAATCACTAACTGAATGGAAAGGAAAGAAATCTTCTGAATGTTGGGATATGACAGATTTAAAACAATAACAAGTGTATGAAAAACTAAATGGACAGGCAATAAAATAATACAGAGATATTTTTAATGATTTGCAAGCCCAACATATTTCTTAAAGAGTGACTGGATGTCAAACTAAGCAACAATACTGAATTAGCAAAAATGTTTTGAGAATACAGAAAACTAAATAATAAAGGAAACTTGATGCTACGGCCTTCATTGTTCACCTACATTGTTATACATCTCTGTGTGTGATGTTCTGTGTCTTATTAATGTACAGTGTTTTTTGCATTCTATGTATCCATGGATAGTGCATGAGCACAAACATTCAAGTACAGCTTTTACTTTGAGTTCATGAATGAGTTAGTACTTATTATTGCTGATCCTTTTACTTTATATAATTACTCACAGTCATGAAGGTGCCCGGGAGGTTGTGTGATTCTATTTAGTATTTTCATTTTATTATGTTTAATGGAACACAAATCAGAACGATGTCAAGAAACTGTTAAGGACAATAACTGCTCCGCTGTAAGAGAAATTTAAAGGAAGAACGAATGTTATATTGAATGTGATGATGTGCTTCCCTCAATGTAAAACTAAAAGCCAAAAATAAAATTAAGTTCTTAGATTCCTATGCAGCGTTTTCTGAGGTGTTTATGGTGATAATGGCTCTGAGGATACCCAGTCTGTTAATGTCTGTTACTCAATAAACAGGTGCCAAGCCAGTCCTCGGAACCTTTTTAAAGTATGAACATTTCGGACATGATGGACATTCATCAAGGTCATCAAAATGTTCTTTTTGTAATTGTGAGGACTAAATAAACCTGTTTCTGGGTATTTTTAGTCTTAAATATTTATGTAATGTATGTAAGTTACATGAATGCAGCCTGTAAGCAGAAATAATTTTGAGTATAATTAGTGAATGTTCATTCATCGTCAGTTCCTTCTTAGTCTCTAACTTGTTTAATTGTTCTGTTTTACAGTGTTGAGTTTCTAAATACCCCTTTTTCTGTAAAGAAGAAAAGTAAATCATGAATCACTTAATTGTGAATTCTTGGACTGAGCCAAGTGAAGATGATTTTGATGCAGATGGAGAGACGGGAACATGGGGAATGTGAGAAGAAGACTGCGAAGAGAGGGAAAATAAGGCCAGGTCTTCATCTTTTAATCAAAGCAAACTTCCAGCTTCAATCAACTGATAGAATGACACTTAACTAAGTGAGCAATGTAAAAACGCAACAAAAAAAGCGACTCCTTGTTGCATTGCACCTTGGCTGGCTGATAGTCACAGCCAGAGCAGCAGCTAAGCTGTTTCACTGGGCATAAAATCAATATATATAAAAATACTAAGAGCCTGAAGCAACACTATTGACTTTGTAGCATTTCTACTAACTCAGTGTAGCTTTGTTGGCTGTCAACAGACTGACATATCATTTCGTGACAAAACAAACCTAAAGTCCTTCAACAAGACTCTGTAGACAGTATCTTTGCTGAGAGCTTAACAGTGCTGCCACTTCCCTCCCCTGTCAAAGTACAGTATACACTGCAAACTAACACAGCACACAAAGGAAGAGGTATAGGCAGGACCCTAGCTATGCCAGGTCCAGCTAATTTCAGCAGGATCACCATGGCTATAGAACACTGAAGCAGTGTAATTATTTGCTATAACATTAGATATTTCTTTTCCTTTTATCTGCATGTAAATAGACCATAGTACGAGTATTCGTACATCAAGAAAACGTCAATGCATTTCACGTTTAAAATTCAAAGGGGCTTTTCAATGAACACGTATATCACAGCACTTTTCAGTAGAATTGAGATGTGAATATTTCTATGAATATTATAAAAAAGTAACAAAAAGAGACTTTAAAAAGCCAAAGTAATGTAAATCAAGGGGAAGACGAGTCAAGACTGACAACAGTTTTTAATGGATTCTATGCAACTCAGTGCCCATCTGTGCTGTGTCTTC